CTTCTACTCGAAATGGAAGTAATCCCAACAATTATGAAACAAGAGATTCCTCGAAACCCAACTTTTTCTCGTATTAAAAGGGAATGTCAACTTGAGAGACAAAATGAGTGTGCTTTATGCCATCAGAAAGTTGCAAAATTGATGCCGCGCATTTTCACACCAGCGGTTCTGAATTAAGCTGGACACAGGGCCCCAAAGAATGAGATCCAATGTGGATGGGGATGAGAAAGAGGATATCTGGCTAATGGGTCTGAGGCCTAAGGAGATGAAAATGCCCAGATCTGCGCATTATCGGCTCAAAATCCTCGAATATGACGTAAATGGGGACTGGACTCGAAAGCTCATAGGCAGACAGGCAGTGATTTTGATGATGATGATGATGGTGATGATGATGATGCTTTTGAAAAGCGATGTGGAAGGGGATCTAAATGAAAGTCAGAAGCCCTTTAAATGGCATCTGGAGCTGGTAGTGACACACTCTTAGGCGACATTGGAGGAAATGAGAACACATAATTGTATGAATGGGTAAGTGGGTCATATGAGGTGGGGTTGAGATAAAGAGATGCCGCAGTAGAGGGTAGGACAAGGGTTGAACAGAAAATTGGTCAAGAATATTTTCTTCATTTGTCACTCTGATAAGTTGTAACCTTGTGCTAACGATTGCTCCTTCCATTGACGATGCCGACAAAACGTCTGGGGATATACCAAGTTCATGTTCCGATGCTGAAAATCAGGAAAACTGCGGCAGAGGACGCAGGACTAAGCACGTTCCACAAGGGCTCGCTGACCCTCTTACCAAATTGCGAGGTCAAGGTTAAACCCAAAATATGCACTTGAAGAAGACTAAGGCCAAACTAAGGGTCATACCATCTTGGTCGTCATATTTACAATGACATCTCAGATTCATCGAAATTCAGTCACTCATACTTTCTGATCCGAGAAGTGAAACTTGGCCATCCCCTTCTTTCTTGATTGTGTCATTTCATACAACCAAGTAGAGAATTCGAGAATTTGTAGTAGGATGTGATGGCAATATGAGAGTGCTTTCATAATGTTTAGCGGGTTAGCTCAGGGAATTTGTCTGTTGTGGTTGCAGAATAATAATAAAAAAAGGATATTCTGCAACACGTCGGTCAGAGTCGTCTTTTAGACACGAGTCCTACCTGGTTGGCTTCCAAATACCTTGATGCTCCCGAATACTATTGCTGCCTTATGGGTCTGGTGTGAGCTTTTGAAGGGTCATCAAAAGTTGTATTGAAACTATCTTAGAAGTAAGTTACAGACAGATTTGCTCAGTTAGTTCCCTCTTTTTATGCAGGTTCGTGAAGCAAAATCCACAATCTATAGGGTCTGATACAAGGCCTAAGGGCAACCGTCTCTTGAGACAACACTTGTATTTCGTATCGAAGGGTATGATTAAAGATCCGCAAGTCGATCTCATCAGAAGGTGGCGGCTGATTCCGGTCTCTGCAGCCATTTGGCTTTACATGAAGTTCAGGTTGGCTCATCCCACGAGACATCCTCCCTCGTTTCGGGTTTAAAATGGCTAAGTTTTTGTCCGTCATATTACATTACCACACGAGTACGCACAAATTCATACGCACTCAAGTATTACTATAGAAAATTATGGGAAAGAGAACTAATCACATCATTCTGGATGCGTCGACATCTATATTTTTCGTTTTTATTTATGATCAGGACAGAGCCGACAGGTCTTAGTGCCAACTGGAAACTTTGGCAAGAATGAGTTCCAGCTCTGTGGCATTGCAAAAGAAAGTTCAACCCGTTTTCACTGGAAAAAAGGGAGGATATCTCATGGACTGCGTCAACTTGAACATCGTGGTACAGCCAAACACGGTAGCACAATGACAGGAATCAACCCTTGTCTTCTTGTGAAACCCTTAAACTTATATATATTTGAAAAAAGATGAGTCTCAATAACGACTACCGATCGACGCGTCTAGCTTATTTGCATATCTTGTGAGGGTGTGCGCCACGATTCAATCTGTCTATATTAGCAGGGGGTGAAGGTGGTTTGGTTGTTGGGGCTGATGGTGAGTTAGGCAAGAAAACTCTTTATCTTCTACTACTGACCTATGCTACTGCTACTACTTGCTTTTTATCAGCAAAACGATTACGGCTGTGACTTCTATTGATAGCATTGATACTACCATTTATTTGATGCTGTCACTAATAAATGCTATGCTACTGTTTATCTCCTCTTCGAAGCCAGTTGAGTGAGGCAAAGTATCCTACTTTAGTTACGAGTCTTCCATGAACAAGACCGCAAAATTGGGCTATAATTCCAAAGAAATAAATTGAGTCGCCCTGAGTCATTTAAGGTGTGATTGTTGTGACAATTTCAACACTAATTCCATACCTCGCCTAAAACGCACTAAGAGTACTTAAGCCCTTACCAACGATCTACTTAATTCCGAATCCTGCTCGCCCGGCATAATTGTATGTGCAGACTTGTGTACCCAGAGCGTCATTCTGAGATCTAGCTACATCCGTGCGGAGCC